TTATTTTTTCTCTCAAGCATAGTTCCAAAAAGTGGTAAAGTCAACCAAATTCTTTTGTAATCTTCTTAGAATACTCCAAAAAATGAAGAAAAAACTTAATTTTTTTCTAGAAAACTTATAAAGGAGAAAATTATTGTTCTCCTTGTTTTTCTTATAATTATTTTAGCATTTTCATCTTTTATTCTATATTAGTTTTCTTTAACTTTATCTTAGAGATTTTCAGATATTCGTTCAGAAAAAATATAAAAAATATTTTAGGTGTTTTCTTTTTCCGCACTTTGTAGAAAATTCAAGATTCAAAACCCAAAATCCAAAATTCAAATCATGATTCAATACTTTTCTTAAAACTTTCATTATGATTATAAGTATGTGTAAAAAAAGTTAAAGAAAATATAGAATAGATGGTGGGAAATAAAATATCTTAGAGAAGATGTGAGAATCACAAAAGAGAGGAAATGTAGGAGGAGTGACGGAGGGTGGAGTGGTAAAAGTGTGGGTCTCAATTTCCATTTGTCAAATAATAATAGCCTCATATGACTAATCATACTTATGCAAGTCACAAAGTAAAATTTCTCTCTATTTGGCTGTAAAATTCTCGTAAGACTATAGTTTAAAATGCTCTTTAGAGCGGATCGTGGATCAAACAGTTGGTAGCTGATCGTGGTCCTTCGTCAAAAACAAAAAAGAAAAAAATTAAACTTTTTGTGATTACTGTTGTCTCATTTAGAAAGCTTTTTCCTTATCTACTGCAATTTCCATCAATCACTAATCAAAATTCCCGATTTAAAAAAGTGGGGATAGTAATGAGGGTCAAAGGATGAAAATGTACAACCTGGGCTAATCCGGGTTGAAAGCAAAAATATGGGCCAAAAACGGTTGGGTTGTTGGACCATGTTGGGCCACCATATTTTACACCTGAGCCAGGTCCAATTACTGTGTTAGAGGACAAGCCCAGTTAGGCGGGTTTAATTATTTGGTTTTTACTAGTTTTCCCCTGATTATATATAGAGTGGGGACTCTTTGTAAATAAGGAGACTAGGTATCATTTTGTGAATGAAATGTAAAGTTCAGATATTTTTCTCTATCTCGTTTTCTAGAACCTTCATCTCCGCACTTCGATTTGGTTGGAATTCATGGAAGGAACTTGAATTTTATCATGGTATCAGAGCAAGGTTGAGTAATGTTCTTCATCTGACGGAGTAATTTCTGTTTTTTAGCTTGTTTGGGGGTGAATCACGCGACCTAGGGTTTTTGCGATTTCGCCTACGATTTTGCGAATTTTTCTACTTTGTGCAGTTTGTTTCTGGATGTTTCTACTACAACATCGTGAGTTTCTGCTGGTTTCCTCTAATTGATTCACATTTTCAGTCGGCTAAAGTAGTTTTTTTGATAGAGCTGGTTATAATTCACGGTCTCTCAAAAAGGAAAAGGTTTGATTCCTTTCTTCTTTGATTTCTCATTCAGCACACGTGTGAGTCAGTAATTTTGTCAAATTGTTACATGTTTATTTGAGTGTCTACTGTTGCAATGGGAGATAATTCATCAACTATAAATTTGCGTACTACTGCTTTAGAGTCGGGGTCTAATGTGACCATTCCTATTGATCCATTGCATCCATACTACATTTCTTCTTGTGATGTGCCGGGAATTTCTCTGGTATCCACCCCTTTTGATGGTACAGGATATGTGAATTGGAGTAAGGAAATGTTGATGTCTCTTTCTCCTAGAAACAAAATAGGTTTCATAGATGGATCATGTCCTAGACCTTTTGTTACTTCACCTCTTAACAAAGCCTAGGATAGATGTAACAATTTAGTTGAAACAAGGATTTTGACTGCTTTAACTACGCAAATAAAGAATAGTGTTCTGCATTCTAAGTAAGCAAAAGACATGTGGGATGACTTGAGAGACAGATATGGCCAACCTAATGGGGCTCAGATCTATCAGCTCAAGAAGGATTTGGTTGGGGTGACACAAGGGAATAGTGACATAGCAACATATTATTCTAGACTTAAGGAACTATGTGATGAATTGAGTATTCTTAATTCTTTAATGACCTGCTCTTGTTGTGATTGTGTGTGTAAATGTGGAGCAAAAGGGCATAATGCTCGTAAATAATTGAGAGTGATAAAGTGTACCAGTTCCTCATATGTTTAAATGAATCTTACACCGCATCAAGAGGTAATATTCTCATGATGACACCACTTCCTAGTCTGTCCTAGACATACTCTTTGTTAGTACATGAAGAAAAACAGAGAGAAGTACAATCAAGTGTGTCTTTCACAACTGAGGCAGCTTCTCTCATTGCTGGAGGCAACAACATGTAGCAGCAACCTCAAACTCAGAATCAAGGTTTCAATCATAATCAGAATCATAACATGAATTTCAGAAATGGTAACAATGGTGGAAAATTCAACATTGACTTTAAGGCTGGACATAAGTATGTGGGAGATGGTAGAAAAAATACTATGTTTTGCAACTACTGTAAAAAGCCTGAGCACCTAATTGATAGGTGTTACAAGTTGCATGGTTACCCCAACAATAAGCAACCTCTGAATAGATTCAACAATAACTAGAGGGCTAAAGGAACTGCTGCTATGGTACCAACTTCTGAAAATGATGAAGGAACTGGATCAGATTCTGGACAGTCTACTGTATGTGGATGAGCAATAACCAAGGAGCAGATGAGCCAATTGATGCAGCTCCTGCATAATGTTGCTGTTGGGTCTCAAGGTTCTTCTCTTCCTGAAAGCATTGGTTCTGCTAACTTGGCAGGTAAGGTTACTGATTTAGATTCTAGCAGCTTTGCACAGTCTGTCTCATCTGCCTCACCTGATTCTTTGTCTCAAAAACCCTGGATCATAGATTCAGGGGCTACAGACCACATGACTTCTAACTTGTTTCTTCTTTCTGAAATTAAACTCCTTCCTGCTCCTTACTTAGTTGCTTTACCTAATGGCTATAGGGTAAAGGTTCATTTAGTGGGTTCACTTCCTTTGTCTAAAGCACTTTCTCTTCCCACTGTGCTGCATGTTCCTTCTTTTCAGTATAACCTAGTATCAGTTCACACACTATGCAAGCAAATTAAAGGCTTGGTTTGTTTCAGTGAGTCTACTTGATTCTTGCTGCAGGGCCCTTCTTTGAAAAGGCCATTGGAAGTTGGTAGTGAAGCAGATGGGCTATACATCTTGCAACCAGAGAAGTTTCTTAATGATGGTTTTTTCCCTTTAACTCCCTCTGTTCCTTTGAATAAATGTGTACCTAGTTCCAAGTCTAATGTTTCCAAGAACTGTGAGAATATCATCGAGTCTAAGTCTGTAAATTCCATTTTGAGTGATAAGCATACCTTGTGGCATTATAGATTGGGACATTTACCTTACAATCAGTTGAAGTCTATTTCTTCTAAACTTTCCATTTATGTACCTTCAACTCAACAATTTCCTTATCATATTTGTCCCTTAGCCAGACAGACAAGGAACTCATTTCCTTCCAGTTCAACAACAACTACTTGTCTTTTTGATCTTATTCATGTAGATGTTTGGGGACCCTATAATACTACTACACATTCTGGGAACAGATATTTCTTAACCTTGGTTGATGATTATTTTAGATCTACTTGGACTTATCTTCTCAGTACAAAATCTACTGCATTTACAGCTTTGAAAGCTTTCATTCTCATGGTTGAAACTCAGTTTGATTACAGAGTTAAGACAGTAAGATCTGACAATGCTTTTGAGATAGGATTAAGTCATGAATCTTCCTCTTTCTTTCTCTCTAAAGGAATTCTTCATCAAACATCTTATGTAGAAACAACTCAACAGAATGGAGTTGTTGAAAGGAAACATAGACACTTACTTGAAACTGCAAGAGCACTTCTTTTTCAATCCAAAGTGCCTTTAAAATATTGGGGGGAGTGTATTCTGACTGCAACCTATTTGATTAACAGATTTCCCAACTCTGTCTTACAAGGAAAAACTCCTCATGATCTTCTCTTTGGTACACCTCCTTCTTATGACCATCTTAGAGCTTTTGGTTATCTTTGTTACATTTCAACACTCAAAAGGGGTAGGGATAAGTTTTCACCAAGGGCAAGTCCTTGTGTATTCTTGGGGTACCCTTTTGGGAAGAAAGGCTACAGGGTATTAAACCTTACCACTCAACAGATTATGATGTCCAGAGATGTGATGTTTTATGAGGCTGTTTTTCCTTTTGCTTTACAACAACCATCTCGTTCTTCTGAGTTCCTCGCATCTACTCCTCCTCATGCCTTTTCTTCTTTTTGTCCTTCTCCAGAATCCTCTTCTTTGCCCATACCTACAACTTCCTCTTCATCTCTACCTACAGGTTCTCCTTCTCCTCCTACTTCTCCATCTTCTTCTAATGTGCCTCCACTCACTCCTACTCTTGTTCCTGTACCTTCTGCTGCATCCCCTTCTATTCCTCCCACTGTTTCATTGAGTAAGTCATCCAGAACTCACCAAAGACCTGGGTATCTTCAAGATTTCGTGTGTAACTCTGCCTCTATTTCCTGCCCTTCCCTCTCTTCTGTTTTACCAGTTCACACCAATATGAAGCAGATTTGTATTTCTGCTTTGTCCTGCCAATCTTAATCCTTTATTAACTCTCTATCCACTGTGCAAGAGCCTAGATCTTATTCTTAGGCAGCTTTACATCCAGGATGGCAAGAAGCCATGTCCAAGGAATTTGAAGCCTTAGAGGCAAACAATACTTGGAGTTCGGTTCCGTTGCCCGTTGGGAAGCATGCCATTTCCAGTAAATGGGTTTATAAGATTAAACATAGGGCTGATGGTTCTATCGAAAGGCTCAAAGCCAGACTTGTCACTAGAGGAGATACCCAAAAGGAGGGTCTTGACTACACCAAAACGTTTTCTCCTGTCGTCAAAATGACTACTATCAGGTGCCTTTTAGCTGTCGCTGTCAAGAATCAGTGGCACCTTTTTTAGCTAGATGTTAATAATGTGTTTTTGCATGGGGATTTAATGGAGGAGGTGTATATGAAGGTCCCTCAAGGTATGGTTGTCACTTCTTCTGATTTGGTTTGCAAGTTAAACAAATCTTTGTATGGTCTAAAACAGGCATCTAGACAATGGTATGCCAAACTATCTGATGCTTTACATTCCAAAGGTTTTCAACATTCTAAGAATGATTATTCTCTATTTTTTAAACACACAACTGCTGGTTCTGTGTATTTGGGGGTCTATGTAGATGATATTGCGTTAACTGGTAATGATATAGAAGGCATTCTTTATCTTAAACAGTTTCTGGATGCTCAATTCAAAATCAAGGATTTAGGTTCTTTACATTACTTTCTTGGTCTGGAGGTTATGTATGTGTCTGATGGTATTTTGGTAAATCAAAGGAAGTTTGCTCTCGAATTGGTTGAGGAATTTGGGTGCACTGATTCCAAGCCAACCTCCAGTCCTCCTCCTTTGGGTCTGAAATTGTCTTCTGATGTGGGTAGTTGCTTTCTGATCCTTCTCTTTACAGGAGGTTAATTGGCAAACTCAATTTCTTAACTCACACTAGGACCGACTTGGCTTATACGGTTCAACATCTTAGACAATTTATGCAGACTCCCAGGAAGCCCCATTTGGATGCTGGTTTACATACTGTGTGCTACATCAGAGGATTGCCTGGTTTGGGACTTCATTTCTCTTCTCATTCCTCTTTTTCTATGGCTGCATTTTGTGATTCGGATTGGGCTTCTTGCCCTGATTCCAGGCGGTCTGTTAGTGGTTTTTTTGTTACATTAGGGTCCTGTCCTATATATTGGAAGTCGAAAAAGCAGACTACTGTTTCTTTATCATCTGCGGAGGCTGAGTAAAGGTTTGTTCGGAGATTGGCGGATGAATTAACTTGGCTATGTCGCCTCTTGGAGGATATGAATGTCACTGATTTGACTCCTATTGCTATCCATTGCGATAATCAGTCTGCCTTTCAGATTGCAAAGAATCCTGTCTTTCACGAGCGGACTAAACACATCGAACTAAACTGCCATTTTGTTCGGGAGAAATTGCAAGATGGCTTGATTCATTGCATTATATACCTTCTAGTGCCCAACTTGCTGATATTTTCACTAAGAGCCTTCCTGCTCAGGCCCATTTGCATCAATTGTCCAAGTTGGGAGTGGGTTCTTCCAGCCCCACTTCCAACTTGTGGGGGAGTGTTGGACCAACATATTTTACACCCGAGCCAGGTCTAATTACTGTGTTAGAGAGCAGGCCCAGTTAGGCGGGTTTAATTATTTAGTTTTTACTAGTTTGCCCTGAGTTATATATAAAGTGGGGACTCTTTGTAAATAAAAAGACTGGGTATCATTTTGTGAATGAAATGTAAAGTTCAGATATTTTTCTCTATCTCGTTTTCTAGAACCTTCATCTCCGCACTTCGATTTGGTTGGAATTCATGGAAGGAACTTGAATTTTATCAATAGACAAAGAGTGTACTCTTTTCTATTATTAATAATCTTCGTAGAAAACAACCATTAGGTTTATAATTCCTCAATAACAGGTCCGTGTAAGGTGTACCAAACAACCAGTCGGGTTAGAGACTCAATTTCTCAAGTAATTTCAAAGCATGATCTTCTTTGGCAGAGTTTTCTTGATCCGTTGATATATCACACGATATAGTAATCCAAAATCAAAATAGCTCAAGTAACCCTAGAAAACAGGCAAAATATAAACAGGTAAATAATGAATATTACTGTGAATTATCAAGCAGTAATGTCAATATTAAACCATAACATGCCTACTTAAATTGAAAAAAAAAACTGTCTTTGAAGAAAGAAAGAACCGGACCTTCTGCTAGTAACGAATAGTAGGAATCTATTAAACCATAGAGGCAACTATTAAAAGCATGGACAACCAAAGCTTGAAAGAGAAGAACAATTCAGAGGATCCACTTTTCTTATCACCAGCAGCAGGAGATGGTGAAGGTGCCCATGTTGCTGATGGAGTAACTGGCTCCAAAGGAGAATTAGGCTTAGGCGAAGGCGAAGACGATGGTGAGGACGAAGGCGAGGACGATGATTTCGTTGGCTTAGGAACTCTGATGTCAACTTTCTGGCCATTTTGACAATGGCCAGGGAAGCTGCAAATGAAGTAGAAATGGCCTGGCCTTCTGATCACAAAGGTGTCATTGCCAGTGTTGAAGGTGGAATATGTTGTTGTGGCATTGCATGCATTGAAGTTCTTGTGTGTCACTCTCACCACGTTGTGGAATTGCTTGTTGTACTCAAACACTGTCCCAAAGAAAACGATAATAAAGGTATAACTCAAAATCAAAAGCTAATACATAGCATTGCAATATACATTAACATCCAAAAGTATCTCAATTGGTCGGTTATAATTAAATGTTATTTTCAAAGAAGGAAAACTCCAGGTCGTTAATTTCGTACCCTAATAGGATCTTATTCTTAAAAAAAACGCTATTGATAGCTCATTTACCTGATAATTTATAAAGTAAGCATAAATAAATCCTTATTAATAATAGATTTATATACAACTACAATGTAACGAAGTAGGCCAAAGTTTTGCATTACAATAGTAAAAGATTCTATTTAGTTCCTTGATAAATTATGATTATTGCTATTTTAACAACAATTTTCCATATGAAGTTCTGTAATAGATTGTGATAAATTAAAAACTGTTTTAATATTATGAATTTGGTAATTTCGCCTAGGAAAGTATTTAATTACTTTTGCTATTTGATATAAAGCAGAGAAAACATATTAACACTTCATAAAGGCCGTTCATTGAATTTTATGCGACCTAATTTGGTTTTGCATTGAAAGTTGATATAAGCATACCTAAACTTGGCGTTCGAACACAAGAAAAAAATAGATCTATCACCTAGGCATGTGACCAAATCTTATCTCTTGTTCTTAATCCTCTTGAGTGCAAAAAAGCATCTCTACCATTACTCACTTTTATATAAAATGATGTAAAACTTTTTAATGGTATAGATCCAAATTCCCATCACATTTCTGTTTCGAAGTGTATAACTCGTTGTTTTAAAGTGATAAGGATATAAAAAAGTACATACTTTTTGCTCTATATCGCCATCTCACCATAGTGAATAATTACCAATCCTACAGTTTTATAATTTGTGCTACAATTCCTTTTAGTAATTCATTATTCACATGCCTAAGTAAAGTACTTACCAATGGAATCGCCAACACGGAAATTCTTACTGGCAGACCAAGATTTGTAGTCAGAGTGACCAATGTCTGTCCACCCAGTGGAGTCACCAACCTTGTATACTTCACCCTTTGTTACACCACAAAATACCAGAGCCATTAAAACCAACAGCATGGCTTTCTTCGGCAGAGTCATAGCTAATAATTAGTCAAAAGAAATGGAGGCACAAATAAGTTTCGAAAGGTGAGTGAATGAGGGTGTCTAGTTGTATATAACAACCTGTTTTATCGGTTTTTGGAAAGAAAAAGATTTTGTTTGTTGTATATAACAACCAATTATATAAGTTCTTGGAAAGAAAAAGATTTTGTTAGAATTTACCATTTGGTCATAGTGATTTCTGGTAGCTCCATTAATTCTTCTTTCAATTCTTGATTTTCTTTCCTTTTTTACTACTGATGTTAATTGATACTCACGTAAGTTATTAATGGTTACATCTGTCATTCCAACTTACCATTGTGATTACTATCAGCTATTTGCATTATTTTTTCTAGTTTATTTAGGGAGTACTTTTTATACTCTTATGTCTCTTTCACTTTGTTTTTTCAAGGGAGATCAAAGATTCCAAAGGCCTCAAATCTAGTTAAGAATAATAAAATATAAGATTTTACTTACATACATTGAACTTATTTTCCATATTACTTATTCCAACTAATTTTAAAAAATTATTATTTGTACCTATTGTATTGGGTGATACCCTTTTTGCTTGAGCCCGACCGGGTTGGGTCCGGTCCGGGGCAAGTCGGGGCCATCGAACCCGACCTGGATGCAAGGTAGAACGACGGCCACGTCAACAACCGAGGTCGAGTCATTTCGAGACCGTTGCAGAGCTCGATATGAGTCACCACCGGATGGAGAAACACACAAGGTCGGAAGCCGGACTCGTAACGGATAACCAAGCGTCGCCGGATATCTCGCCCAAACGTGATTTTCTCAACCACTTCAGGCCATTAAGGCGTAATTACAGGGATCCACGATGTAATTAATTTACCTACCTTATTTTTACCCTTAATCAGAATGTATAAAAGGGGAGAAGACCCCATAAAGAGGGGATCGAAAACCATTACACTAGAGTACCATCTCTCTCTATTCTTGTACGCTATCAAGCACAATTGTTCTAAGCAATATTATATTCTGCGATTATTTACTTTAACAGCAATTGTTGAGTCTTTATCTTTTATTTTCCTCAATCCAAACCTTTTGTATCTTTTAGTTCACGGATCCTTAAAACCCCATATAAATTCAATTGTTATCCGGATTCCAGGGTAAACATCAAATCTTTTGTATCTTTTAGTTCACGGATCCTTAAAACCCCATATAAATTCAATTGTTATCCGGATTCCAGGGTAAACAATAACAATATTGCTTCTCTTCAATAACAGAGACAAAACCTCAATTTTAAAGTAACAATCAAAAGATTAGAACCTAAGCTTAGTAAAATACCAACGATATTTCCCAGTCTTAAACCTTTCCTCAAGCCGAGCTTTAGCTTTCTTAGCGCAGCAGTAACCTTCTTATCACGAAACTGAAGAACATCGACACAAACATCCTTCAGACGTGTATAACGAGTCGGCATAATGTGATTGCAATTACCGAGCTTCATAAAAGCCTTAACTGATCGTGATTTCATTGCTTTTTTTTGGCTGAATCTTTTCGAATTACTTTTTTGGGTATTGTCTTATACTTGTAACTAAACAATGGCTGTATGGTCTGCCTATTTTTCCTTCATCAAATACAAGAAATTAAATTTCAACACTGCCATTCATGAAACAATCTGCTTGTTCAGAACTAATATGCACTTTGTATGAAATATAATATTCAGACACACGCTACAAACTTGAACACACTTCACAAAAATCAAATTTAATGTTAGAGAGGAAGAAGAAGAAGAAGATGAACAAGAGGAAGAAGAAGAAGTCGAATAAAACAAAGCAATAAAGAGAGATTTCCAACTTAGAGAAAAAAACAAAACAGAGCAACACAGAAGAGGAGGCATACCTGGGATTCGCAATCCAGGGATGTCGAAAACTGGGTAGACCCGCGATACACAAGCCAACAAACTCGCAACAAACTCGCAACAATCGATTTGAGAAAACAAAATTCTTGAGTGGTGATCAATAGAGAGGCAGACGAGTTCTGTGTGTGTTTAAGAAACTAGGGCATAACTTTTTGTTTTTGAAAAACAGAGAGTTTCTTTTAATTTTATGGAATTTTTAATTTTAGGATATTAGTTTTGGCGCCATTTTTTAGAAAATAATAATTTTTAATATTTTAATATTATATTGGGCGGTACTCTCTCCCGCTCATCGCCCCGGCTGGCGCCTACTAATATCATTTAGGACCGGTTACTAATTTTTTTGGGGACCAGATTTAATACCGCAATGGAATACAAAATTAAGGACCACAATATAATCTCGTCCTAATACATACACTTTTAGAGACGGGATTATTAACTCGTTCCTAAATGTTGGTCGCAAATAACACTTTTTCTTGTAGTGATATACACCAATTATAATAATACTATCATTAACTTACGGAAGGAACAACTATCGCACAACGAACAACAAGCTTATCTTTATAATAAAACGGGCAGTATCTCCCCTATAATCTTTACTTCCTCCCAATTCGA